TTCCGTCATCCGATTGTCATAGTCCTCTTTGCAGGGCTGGTAGCGAGTCACTTTTTAGTGACTTGGTCACTTTTTTAAGTCAGTCACTAAAAAGTCTCTTTTTTTAAGGCCAAGTCACGAAAGTCACTTTTTCTTGTAATAAGTCACTATTTTCAACTTTTTTTAGCGTGAATTTATTTCAAGATTGATTATTCTTTGCGTTGTGGCGTTTAATCGTCTTTCTCTATATACAGGATGTCTACTCATTTTTCTGGATAAAATTACCTGAGTTTTCCAAGCAAGTATGTCCAAGATCTAAAAATATGCAATGTGTTGAAGTTTCGTATTTCATGTACAAGTTCAAGATATTGAAAAGATTCAAAGTGCCAGGATTAACTTTATGAAAGATTAGAATTCTTCAATGCAGTCCCATTAACTTTACAACAATTGTAGGAACTTTGTAGTTCTGAGGAATGAAATGAAATGCTGAGAATTTCAGTGAAGCTCTATAAACAAACTGCAGGAACATAAGGGAAGTTAACACGGTGAAAATATGGCAAACTTACTGGAAGCCGAAGAACCTCAAAGCGGTTCTTTTAGCATCCGTGACTTTTCAGGAACTTTTATGAAGTTCCTAGAATTTCAGAGAAGTTCACAGGTGTGAAGCGAACTTGAGAAATTTAGAAAACTTGAGGGGTATTGTGCACATTTTTAAGAAGTTCTAAGCATCTCAGAAAAGCTAGCTCTAGAGATCTTTGGGGAATTTCATATCTTAAGAGCAATTCCCGTAACTATAGTCCAGAGTGTTGGAGCAGTTTAAAATCAATAATCGTAAATTAAGATAAATTCAAGATAGTTCCATAATATGCAACGAAATATTTGAAAACTTAAAGAAATTTCGAGAAACTCAGTGAATTTCCGAAAACTTCAGCAAAGAGAAAACTTCTGGAAATTTTATGAACATCCGGAAAACGTGAGAGTATTTTAAGGGTGATATATCATTGAGATTTCAAGAACTTAAAAAAATGCGAAAATTTAGCTAAGTTGATTAGAGAACATCAACGAAGTTCCATTAATAAAAAAGCGAGAAATTTTAGCAAGCAGCGATATCTTCAAGAAATTTCAGTGAACTAAATTTAGATATTCAGCAAAGTTCTGAATGCTTCGAGGACGATCAGATAGCTTTAGAATAATTCTATTAACTTAAGCAAATTTGCAGCGACTTACAAGGAGTTCCGTGGAATTATAGGGTATTTCAAGAATTCTATGAATGATCCTTAAACGTCAGAAGCGTCAGGGAATTATGAATATATATCAGAAAATTTGCTGGATTATTGAACAAATTTATAGAACTTCAGGTAAGCATATATAAGTTCAGAGAAAATAAGCGAGTGTTAATAATGGCTATAATGCTTAAGGAACATTTCCGAAACTTCAAGGCAAGTTATTTGATTTCAAAAAAGTTGCGGGTTCTGGGCAGTCTAGAGAACTTTAAAGAAATTCCGTAATCGTCTAGGCACCAGGAAAGTCTAGGCTATTGAAGAAGTTTTAAATTAGTGTCGATAATTTAAGGGAAGTTTTATAAACTTCAGAAAAATCTTGAGAACTTCAGTGAAAATCTTAGAACTATATTAATTATTTCGTTCGAATTCCATGAAAATTGCGGGAGCACAAAAGTTCCAGAAATTTAGAAAAACTTCGAAAACTTCACAGAAGGACTTCTTCAGAAACATTACTTCATAGAAATCTATGGAGCTTAAGATGAGATCCGCGAACTTCAGGAAATTTTATGAACATTAGCAAAATGCGGGAGCATTTGAAAGAAGTTTAGTATTCTCCGAAAATTAGTTTCAGAAAATTAGTGGGAAATTTAAAACAGTTCCCAGATTTTCAGATAACTTCAGAGACGTTAAAAGTTGTTTGAGGTCTTCACATAAGTTCAGAAGTTCACTGAAGCTTAAACATTGTTAGGACGATTTAATTAAATTCAGCGCAGTACAACAAGCTTAATGAGAACTGCAAACACTTTAGAGAAGTTTTGAGAATTTCAGAAAAGAACCGAGAACCTCAGAGGAGTTCCGTAAACATTAGAGAAGTCACATAAATTTTAAAGAAGTTTAGAGAACTTCATTGAATTCTTAAACCTTTAAAGACGATCCATGATCGTTAAAACAATTGAGGAAACTTTAGGAAGCCATATAAAGTTCCGGATTTGAGGAGAAGTATTGTGAGCATCAGGCTAGTTTATCAAACTACAAAAGAACTTCAAGGCAGTTTCATTAACTTCAGGAACAAATTGAGAACTTTCAAGTGGTTTTGAAGACCTCAAAATAGTCCATTCCATGTTCAACGGAGATTTCCTCAAAATCTCGATGAATCTATCGTCAGAATTAAATTTTCTTTCAGTTTTCCTTGGAATTACCTTGAAATTCTCCACAATTAAAAATCCTTTGGAAAGATCCTCCGAGTATTCATTGAATTCATTTCAGATTTCTTTTCAATCTCACTCCTTCCCTTGGAATTCTACTCACATTGAAAGTCTCCTAAAAATTCATTGACATTACTCCTCAGAAATTCAATTAGATTTCTTCTCATTTGTTTCCTGAATTTTTTTTTTCCGAATTCCTTTGAAGATGTTCTGGGGTTATTCTCACATTTAGTTCTCACATTCTTTGAGCCTTCCAGGTATTTTAGGGAAACAAAAAAATTTCCTGAGGATTCCCGGTTTTCCAGATTTTTGAAGCTAGTAGACACCGTGACCAATACTTGTGGATTTGGTTATAAACTTTCTATTGAATCTTTCGCTTTAAAGGTTCATATCGTGTTCATTCCTTTATTTAACGTCGGTCTCTGTTCCGCAATCTAATGCCAATCACTGACGGACATCGATTGCCATCCATTGACGGCAACCGAATGTGCAGGAAGGCAGCTTCCACACCTGTGTAGGATATCGTACCCATTCAAACCACATGAGCCGGAACCAACGGCTTTACTTCCCTTCCGAAGGAAGACGTGACCAGAGATTTTTATGCCTCAGAAAAATCCCACAGACTTCGGCTGGGATTGAACCCAGGCCCATTGGGGTGAGAAAGCAGTCACACTTACCACTACACCACCGGCGCCGGCTAATGAGATAATAATTGAATAAGTCTAAAAAATCAAACATCTATTTGATGTGCCTTCTCTTAGGTCACTTTTTAGTCACTATTTTTACAACTATAAGTCACTATTTGGTCACTTTTTCATTCAAGATGGTCACTAAAATCACTATTTCTGACAGCAGTGATCGCTACCAGCCCTGTCTTTGTCCAAAATCACTACTGCATTACATTTGTCCGCTTTTTCAACGGCGCCGGTGGTGTAGTGGTAAGCGTGATTACCTCTCACTCCAGCAGGCCTAGGTTCAATCCCAGTCGGCGCCGCCGGGATGTTCTGAGGCATAACATATCTGATCACGCCTTCCTTCGGATGGGAAGTAAAGCCGTTGGTCCCCGGTTCATGAGTTGATGGGTCGATAGGTAGGGTCCAGGTGTGGGAGCTGCCTTCCTGGCACGTCGGTAGCATTGGTGCTCAGCACGGAAAACAAGATCGACGGAAAAAACAAACCAAAGGAAAAAAAAAAACATTTGTCCGCTTTTGTATAGAATACCGGCTTTGTTTTTAGTTCTTTGAGAATTTGAATTTCCTTTTTTTCGGTTTTACTAAGTGAATGTCCCTTTCCGTTTTGTATTGTCTCTGAAATAATATACCTGGCAGTCTCGTGTAATTGAATAGGAAGTGTGTGAGTGATTGCAGTCTCCATGTCAACGATGGTCTCTTCCAGGTTTTGAGGAGATCGCATATCCTAATCCCTTGTTGATAAGTGTCAATTGTTCTTCTGAGAACTGCTGCGTCGAGCGATTTACCACAAAACCTTCGACGGATTGAACCACAGCTATGTTAACTGAGCTGTGTGATTTCTGGTCCCTCTGTTGTGTTGTGTAATTCAAATAGTATTGTAGTGACCTCAGTTTGTTGTTATGTAACTTTTTTTTCATAGAATTTTTTCAATACTTTTACTTTAGTCAAAAACAGTGGAAATTCAATTGTGAATTCTTTGGCCAATTTCAAATGCAGGGAATAACATTCCAACGACTTTGTTTCCAACTTTGAGTAGAGACTCTGAATGTTCGTTTTTTAAATTCTGACTCCATCTTACGAACTACTTTTAAGGGAGTTGGTGTCTTAACCTTAATCTTATGACTGACAATTTTGTAATTTGTATTCCGATTCCAACAAAAGAAGCTCACGTAATAGCAAAATCAGCCTCAGGTTCTAAGCTTTGAAAATTAGATCAGTGTTTTATTGGAAAGAATGACGTTTTTTTATGCATAAAATTTAAAAATATATAATTATAAAATTTCAAAATAACTATAAGTACTTATGCTAAAAGAATGTAGTGCTAAATTCATCGTCAAAATATTATTTGATTGAAAGCAGAAAGTGTGCGTCTTTCCAGCTGTACCCATCACTATCGCCTACGCGTATGGTAGTAAACTCCAATCAGTTTATCCTCGGACTTGTTTTTCCAAAGTTTGCCTATGTGTACAACAGTCAACAGGTTTCGTCAGAAGTCAATCAATTTGGTTCTGGTTTAAGTTCGTACAGTGTCCATATAGCGTCGACCAAGGGACTGGCATTAAAAGTTGATAACAATGGGAATTTACCACTATTAATGTACTGCTTCCCATGGTACCTCTAGAGCACGGCAGAAAGTAAATAAATTGCAGGGGGTAGGATAACGCTGCATTTCAACGGTATCTTGCCTCCTGAAAGGGCCCCTTCCCTTCTAACCTGGTGTTACATTACGTAAGTCGATAGAAACAACTTTTTAAGTCGATAGAAACAACTTTTTAAGTCGATAGAAACAACTTAAGCAGTCCATTCAAAATTTGCTCCGTTTAACTACATAATTTAGGTCGAAAAGGAACTCTCTGTCAAAGTTTATGGTTTTGTTTCCTTATAAGATTCTTTTTTTGCAGGTGGATTGGCTAGATCGACTAACCTTCAGAGAAGTCGAGGTGATCAACGAAAGAGAAAAACGGGATTCTGAATTTCTTTACCTAATGGTAGAATTTCCACATATAACTGCAGGAGATAAAACGGTAAGTGTTTTGACATATCTTAGTCTCACAATAACAATAGAACGGTGTTTTATGGCTGTCACGTGCATCGTACGGTTTTTTTCATGGAGATTTAATCCTTGCTGATAGCGAATCACGTAATAGGTATCTTCTTCAAATTTATGCGTGACCGAAATATTTACATTGCTAACAGAGCACTTTTCAACAATTATTATTTGTATGTTCCTTGCAAAAAGTATCAATCAAATTTACAGTTTTACTAGTAAACTACATGTTACTGCCTAATTGTCTATAAATATATATTATGGCAGTCGATGTTTTAAAAACTGAAGTACATCCCATATAAAAAATTATAATAATCCGAGAAAATTTGTAAATGATTTTGTTCAGTTAAAATCAATTGTAGGGTAAGGTGGGGCAGCGTCTTCACGGTACATGTGTGCGATGTACAAGCAAGCTTATATACTCACTTGTTCTCAGAGGATGTACAAGCCCATTTGTATAAATGTTTGTACTCAAGTACAATGGAAAAGTTTTAATTCATGCGCTTCTTCTAGTATGTGAGACTGCTACCTACTATGAGCGCTTCTTATATGCTTTTAACCTGTTCGTTTACCCGTGTATTTTAATACTCAAGTAGTCAAAGTCACAGGCTTTGATGATGATGATAGCAAGGTTTTTAGTTCGAGCCTAGTCTCCATCAGTTTTTATTTTAATTATATTATAAATACTTATTTTGCTCCGTGTACTCGTGTATCAACTTGTGCACAACACCGGTACCTACACCCGAGTGTATTGCGTGAAAGTTACCTGAGAACAAGATTGTACGCATGTTCAAGCCAAACATTCGCTTTGATTTGTATACACAAGCTCACATGGTACATGTTTTCGTGAAGACTGTGGGGCAGTAGCTTACTGTATGCATTTTTTAAAACGAAAATTGTTGTAGTGTAAATATTTAATAACCACTTGTCTGTTCATTTGTTAGTGAGGAGATGTTGTTTGAATTATTAGCAGCTGGAAAATTTCTATACAAAGCTTTTGTTTGAAATATTAAACTGCCATTCGGGCAACCCGCATATAGAAAACACAGAAGTAGTCGTACGTCAAGAACCAAAAACAAGAGAAAACGAAAACTGTCTTCACCAGTTTCGTCTCAGCTACAGTCGGATTTCGCTTGTTGGGCTAACTTTAAGTGGGCTACGTTTCAGTTGTGTTCTCAAGCCAAACATCACTTCTAACAATGCTGATTCCTTTTCGAAATTTCGACCGGCTCCATGCAAAAACCGGCAAACGAGTTGAGTAATGATACATATTATTTCAATGCGATACAACGAGTTCAACAGCAATATTTGCTTCAAGAGATAGAACAGCATCGAAAAGAGTAGCCTGAGAAATCGTAGAATATAATAAAATGAAATATAATCATTACGATCCAATGACATTTGTGTGAATATATCTGACATTGTATATTGCACCAAAAGAGTAGGGAAGAGAATGGTAGTACCGTAAAACTGGGTAACATTGATAGTTTTTTAAAGTATATTCTAAATATTTTTTACAGCAATGAATGCTTTTCACATTTTATATTTTTAAAACAAGTACTGAGGATCCAAGAGTTAATTCGTTAGTAATATGTTGAACGAAAATTAAAGCATTTGCACAATTTTTTTAGTTTTGTGACCGAACTTCAGAATTTTGATTTGGGGTTACTTTGATAATGCTCGATGAATGTAGAAAAAAAATGAGTGAAACTCATACAATTTAGTTCTTTAAATATGAAATTTTGAATGAGTATATAATCAGAAAACTTCATAAGCAATAATATGACAACATTAAATTTGTGATTGCTATTTCAGAAAAACATTTCATAAGTGATAGTTTGAGTGCTTTTTCAAAGAAAAGCGAAAATTGTGTTTTAATATGTTTATAAAATATGTAACACATACTATGTAAAAACTATATACGATATCAACGGAAATACCCTAAGCTACAATATGGAATCAATGCTTCATTTGGAAAAAGCGCAGCGAGTAAATTTAATCTTTATATTATACTATCAAAGTTACCCGCATTATCAAAGATACCCCGTTTTACGGTACTCGCTTTACAACTGCTCTTATGATTTTATACAAATTTGTTTGAATAACAAATCCGAACAACTCGAGGGATGGGAAACTCCGAAGTTATTTCAGTCCTTATCTTTACTTTCATTGATATAAATGAGGGCCGGAAAGCATACAGTAAGCCCCCCATATATAACTACGCCTATTAAATGGAGCACATATTTTTGAATACATCTGAACATACCAGCTTGACAAGCTCACAAACACCATCTCTTAATCTGCCTATGAGATTGAAAAATTGTTTTTCAATAATTCATCTGAACATACCAAATCGATAAAATAAGAAACTCCGAAGTTATTTCAGTTTGAAACTTTACTTCTATTGATATGAGTGACCCCCCACCCCCCTCTGACTACGCATATGAGATAGATCTATTGTTTTTGAATATTTGATCTGAATATACCAAAACAATAAAATAATTAACTTCGAAATTATTTAAGTTTGGAGTCTGACTTTCATTGGTACACCGGCAGTGTTGGCAGAAAAAAAAAGATTTTTAGCATTTAATTCGAAACAATGATCTTTGACCAGCTATAACTTTTTTGAGGGGCATTCTGGCACCATACATTTTTGAGCAAAGTTGTTAGGCACTTCCTGGGCTACCCTAACGTATTTGTGCAAAATTGTGGTCCCTAGCAATAAAGATACAAAAAAGTAGGTTTTTCCATACTAATTTCCATACAAATTTCAAACGCAATGCGGAAAGCCGGGTTACAACCAATCGTCCCCAAATTTTGCACAATTGTTTGGGACCCCAAATGGAACGAAAAATTTGCATTATCCACGCTTTAAAATAGACGAGTGGTCAAGACGCATGCCTGATGGTCACTACCCGAGCAAAGTACAGCATCAAAATGACAGCAAATTGAAATCAAGTTTTGATATCAACATCAAACTGAAATCATAATTTGATTTCAGTTTAGGCAATTGACAAATTTGATACCTAATTTTGTTTTCATTTTGCTGTACATTTGCTCCAGAAATATGTTGTTGCTGGTTTGTTTTCATTGCCTTAGCATAACATCAAATTGAATACTTGTTTTGTTATCAACAGGAAAAATGGATATCAAATTTGGTTTTCAGTTTGCTCTCACTGATAGCAGAAATAGTTTTCAATGTGATGTCACAGAAAGATTTTTTTGCTCTCAATTTTGATATTTTAACCGTTAAAACAACCAAAACGACAGCAACCTGAGAAATCATTATCAGCGAAATCACAACATCAAATTTAGATTTCAGTTTGATCTCAGACTTTGCTAGGGATAGATTCATCGTACGACCTGCCGCGTTTTTTTTGTTATTTTATAATTGTATAATTTTGCTCCGTGGTCAAACCCGTGCGCAATTTACCCGTGTACAAACATCACGAATACACTTGTGCTCATCGATACACTCGAGTCCATTGTATAAAATGTACCTGTGTTCAAAACTGCACGTAAGAAGCTGAACATTCACTTTGATTTTTGTACCAAAGCACAACATGTGAATGTGTTTTCATAAGGCTGTGCAATCGTTCTCCTCAATTTGATAAGCTCTAAAGTTGGCTCTTTGCGCTCAATGTGTGAGGAAATAACAAGCCTGTCTGTTGATTTTGACAAATAAATTAATACATGTACTAGCGTACCCATCTTGCCCTACCACTTTTAATACATAAAAATGAATTCTGTCTGACCCTTACAGACTCGGAAACTACTGAACCGATCGGCGTGAAAATTTGTATGCTCACTCCAGCAGGCCTGGGTTCAATCCCAGTCGGCGCCGCCGGGATGTTTTGAGGCATAACATTTCTGATCACGCCTTCCCTTCCCTTGGCTAGTTTTTAACCTGGACGTTGGTGGCCGGGCCTAATGTTATGCTTCATAGTGGAGCGTTGGAAACGGTTGGTTTAGGTCCGGCATCGTTGGCTCATGCCGTGGCAGAATAGCGTCATGAGCATGCGATGAGGTTTACTGAGCTTCCCCTCTCTGATGAACCATTGCATAAGAGAACCAAAGTTCTAGCCTGAAGTGATAGTATCACACTTGTTACTCCTTTAATTGAGAGCCGCGTCGTAGTACGCTTACGTATAGGCACTGGCGTTGGGTTTGATACTGGCGGGTTTTGCCGCAAATCACTCTTATTCTATTTATTTTTACGCAGATAGATTTATTTGGGTTTGCAAGGAAATTATACTATTGAAATATTTCAGAAAGTGCCCAACGGTGCTCCTTCTATTTGCGTGACAAGCTTTCATTGTTGTTTTCATTGAAGTATTACTCAGGAAACAATGTTAAACATCATTTTTGTGCATGGTATTGTAACTAATCTTATATGTGCTTCATTTTTATTTGGCATAGTTGGAGCATATACCCTATATAATTTAAAAATCAGCTAGGACACTAACTTCAAAATGAAACATTTTAGTCACATGAAGGTGTTACCTGGGTCGAACTAAGATATAATAAATAGGTATAGGTCAAAATCAAAAGTACTTGAAAAACGTTTAATTTTACAAGCAGTGCAGGTACTTAATAAAGCATGGGTTATGCTTGATTAGGTGAATTAGAGCTTTTAATAATTTATTAAATTAGACTAATGAGATATAATAATCATCAAATGAACTTAAATAAGAAACTTCAGAAAGTCTAATGATATTAAGTAGATTAACAAAAGAATTAGGATGCGGGGGGTCCGCTTAGGGAGGCAACTAACCTTTAAAGTTGTAGAATAAATCTTCTTATTTAGTCTTGAACTTTATAAAGAAAACGCAGGCAGACCAATAGCATTTAGCAGATTAACAAGGAAAGGAATAGTTTAGGAAATAAGTAAAAGTAGAGGTATGTGACAATTTATAGATTTTAAACTTTTGGAGGTATTGTATTCCCCTGAGTTTGTTGTACTCGATTACTATATAATTCTCTCAATACGCGAAATCTCTTATATATGCGGTTAAAGCAATTGAGGTAACTTATTTCTTAGTGTTCAAGTACTTACATTTGTAAACAGCAGTCAATGTTAATCTATGAACTAAACCATACGTAAAATCGATCTTTTCCCGAGCAGAGTAAAATAACAACCTGATATCATCCTGAAAACAAGTTTTGTTATTCCAGATATCATTTTGTTTTCAGTTGTTATCACATAACTAATTTAGTTGTTATCATGAAAGAAAATGAAATGATGCAAGGTTAGTTCAAAACTTCCAATATTATCCACATGGTAAGAAATAAAAACACTGCCAATCATATACAGACTGGAGAGTTATAACATGTTATAACGGTTGTCAAATAATTGCAACACAGAAACCACCATCAAGATAGCACTATAACATGTTATATATCTGTAGTCTGAACGTACTATAAGGCTGTTATACCATATCGATAAAATTATTTGAAATTTGTTGAAAAAATTCGCATGGATCACATGATTTGTTATCAAAATGTTTTCAATGATAACTAAATCAGTTATTTATGTGATATCCAAGGAGTATTTTTTTGTTATGATATTTGTTATGTTGGCTGTTTATTCAACCTTAATGATAACATGTTTGGTTATCAAATCTTGATAACCGGGTATCAGAACTTGATAATCTGGTATAATCCTTTACTCGGGTCCTTATGTGGTATTGATGCATGTTTAACTTTTCGCGGCTGTCGGAATCAACGCGCCTACGTCTACGGAGCTTACGCAGAAGTGATTCGGAATGCGGTAGAGTTCACCAAAAGTTTTTTTTGAGCCTCTGTAGTATAGAATTTGTTCGGTACGGTCGCGAAATCTTGAAATGATTGATACGTGCGGTAAAATAACTAAATTGAAACAAAGCTCAACAGTAAAATAAGTAGAATATTTAGGGAGGAAACCAAAATTAATCAACTTGCCAACAGAGGCTATCACATTTATTTTGGTGGCACTCTTTAAGTGATAATAAGTTGTTTTTTTTCTCTACGGTTGTTTCGCGTGGCGTTCACAATTTGCGCGATTTTCGTATCTTACGTAATTTAGATGTTTAGCTCTAAACGGTTTTACTGACTCGAGGTCGTTCCTTAAGCGGTGTTGGTACAGGTTAAACCTTTGCCGACTGTCGGATTTAACGCGCCTACGTCTATGGAGCTTACGCAGAAGTGATACGCAATTCGGTAGAGCTTGTCAAACGCTTTTGAGCTTCTGTAGTATAGAATTTCTTCGGTACGGTCGCGAAATCTTGAAATGATTGATACGTGCGGTAAAATAACTAAATTGAAACAAAGCTCAACAGTAAAATAAGTAGAATATTTAGGGAGGAAACTAAAATTAATCAACTTGCTAACATAGGCTATCACATTTATTTTGGTGGCACTCTTTAAATGATAATAAGCCTTTTTTCTCGCTTCGGTTGTCTCGCACGGCTTTCGGAATTCGCGCGGTTTTCGTAACTTACATAATTTAGATATTTCGTTCGAAACGGATTTACTTATTCAATCGGTTTACTACGCGGATGTATCTACGCGCACACGTCACAGCATTTTTTCTATAACTATCTTGAAACAATACATACGGAATCCAGTGTTCAAGCGGCCAACATAGGCTAGTCCTTCTGCTGTATTGTCAAAGATAGAAGCAAAATTTATTCAAATGGGTCAAGTCTTGAAAAATAAGCTGTCACGCAGCTCCAGCTTGATACCCAATAAAAAAAATAAAATTTCTGATCACGCTTTCCTTCGGAAGGGAAGTAAAGCCGTTGGTCCCCGGTTCATGAGTTGATAGGTCGATATGTAGGGTCCAGGTATGGGAGCTGCCTCCCTGGCGTCGGTAACATTGGTGTTCAGCACGGAAAACAAATTGACGGAAAACAAATCAGTGAAAAAAAAATTGTATGCAGGGGTTTTTGAGGCCGGGAAAGGTTCTTATGATGGTTCGAGACCCCTCCCCCTCTGTAAGGCGGGGCTCCCATACAAATGAAACAGAAATTTCTGCATAACTATTCTATTAAATTTTCGTTCATTTAGTTGCAAGCGTAGCACGCTCGCACGGGGTTCAGTTAGTACCCTATAATAAAATGCATCAGTGCAAAAAATTTCAAATAAAAAACTATTATTATTTCGAACAATTTTAGAGACCATCCATAAATGACGTAGCATATTTTCTTTTTTTTTCTTTTTTAGGAGATTTTTATCCGTAGGCTAGTTCATCTCCGTCAGTTTTAGACCCCTTCTTTCTCGTATTCTGCGAACATGGGTTCTAAAACCCCTCCCCCTCCCCATCAAATCAACGTCATTTATGCATGTTCCCTACCTAGTGTCTCACTTTAAGGCAGGTGTTTCAACAGATTTTATATTTGGTAATCACAAAATTGATCATATTTGTATTTTTCGGCGAAGGTGTCAGTTCAATTGATCATAAGAAAACAAAGTTAAAACATGTCAAAGTAGACCAGTTTTGCATGTGTTTTTTTTAATGTTGCTATATATTTTTAATTCGCTTATGAAAACATAAAACACTTTTTTTTTAGATGATTGAATTTTAATTTTCATCTTGATGGCATCATCGTGTTCCCCATCATTTTTTACACATGAAACTGTTAACAACAAGATGTAAAATGCATAGTTCCTGAGATATTACATTTTAAATCACCCCAACAGGGGAGTTTGGTAAAGGAGATGATTAACTCGATTCGTGCCTTTCTCAAAATTGACCTTTGCTCGCTTTCAATTTTCACACTGCCGTACTCTAACGGAACTATCAACTTTATACCTTCATCTCCTCATCTATCGTATCAAATGAAAACTTTAAATCTGATATTTGTCGCTAAGCATTTTTAACTATGTAAATCGTTATCGTTAACTTTACGCATGGAGTTAATTAACATAATTAGTTAAAGAGAAATCAATTAGGTAGTTCGATTTTATTTCTAATAGGTAATTTATGTTTCAATTCCAGTGCTCTGTTGTATACTATGAACCAGATGGTGATAATAAGTTTCTGTTTGTTTCCAAACCCAAATTGGTAACTGTTCCTGACACTGAGATATTACAAGTAAGTATTCGTTACTTTGGTATGATGGTAGCTGAGGTTTTACTTTCAACTCAAGTGAGTGTGTCGTTATTGTATACAGAGGAAAATAGGGCAGTTTTGCCACATAATGCAAATCGTCTCTTCATGCCACCAATTTCAGTGAAAAAGAGTTATTTTCAAACAACTGAATAGTTCCAACACTCCAAGCCACACACAATGTATAGAGAAAAGTGGGGTAATATGGCCATATGGGACAAGACGAGCATCGTCTCTAAACCACATCTTTTGACAATTAAATTGGTAAAAATGTATGTAATCCACTTATTTAGTATGTTCACATATTGAGCAGTATGTTTCAAGAGCAAATTTTCATTACGTCGAATGTAACAAAGGTAAACAAAGTCGAGCTATCAGTGTCAATCGATGCTCCTGCTATTACACTATATACTGTCCGAATATAGGATCACATCCCATTTTTAAATTTATTTACCAGTCGAATTGCTTTTTAGAAAAAAAAAAACACTGAAAAAAACACAAGTTTTCGACAGAAATGAAAAAACTGTTAACCTTTTAGTACTCGCGCCAACTTTTATAGCACAACCCGGAAAAAAATAACCATACAATTACCATAAAATAAAATACAATTACAAGTAAATCTATTGCCAACAATCGATCTTATTGTGCGTATATAGTACACGAATTTTTAACATATTGTTATTACAATAGATGTACAATACGTCCCATATAGTAAGAGTTTTCAACAATAGAACAACAATACAATTAATGGTAAATGGTTCAAGTTTGTTCGGGAAAAAGTGATTTTTCGTATGGTTAAGATACATAACGACCCCCTTAATCCATTGTATATTCCCCCATTTACCATAGATTCTATTGTAGAAACAATACATTCTATTGTTATTTTATCGTTGTGGAAAATACGATTTATTGTAAATACCATAAACTCTATTGTATGGTTACAATACATTTAATTGTACCTCTACGGTTCTTTTTTTTACGGGAAGCACTCGCGCGTTGTGTAAAATACAACACTACAACAGTATGTTATTTTCTCCTTGAGCGCACCGTATGAAACCTGGTCTATTGGATATTGGTATTAAATTTATTTGAGTTTCACGTTGAGCGAGTTTCAAATCAGTAGTTTTTTGTTGTGTTGCACTTTGTACTGTGAGTACTGAAAGGTTAAAAACATCAATAACAGAAAAAAAGTTCGTTTTTAAGATTTATAAATTTATGTTTATTTGAAAGCTTTTCAAAAATGCTTACTTTTCTTAAATGGACACAAAAGTAACTTAAAAATTGACCAAATCGTAGCAGATCAACTATTAGTACAAATTTTGAACTTTGTAAACATTTGTTGGTTCTGCAAAACATCTGAAAAAAAAACATAACATTTTACATAGTCGGTAATTTATGGTAGTGTTTCCAAATATAGCATATATAGTCGGTAATTTATGGTAGTGTTTCCAATGTTATATTATAAAATAAAGTTTAATGAGCATTTTTGTTATTTGAGCCTGTGTGTGTGTGTGTGTGTGTGTGTGTGTGTGTGTGTGTGTGTGTGTGTGTGTGTGTGTGTGTGTGTGTGTGTGTGTGTGTGTGTGTGTGTGTGTGTGTGTGTGTGTGTGTGTGTTGTGTGTTTGTGTGCGTTCGTGTGTGTTTGTGTGTGTTTGTGTGTGTTTGTTTGTTTGTTTGTTTGTTTGTTTGTTTGTTTGTTTGTTTGTTTGTTTGTTTGTTTGTTTGTTTGTTTGTTTGTTTGTTTGTTTGTTTGTTTGTTTGTTTG